TTGAAGTCTCCGAATACTCTTCAAGGGCTGCCCCATGAAGAGCGCATTGCAGTAGTCCAATCTTGAGGTCACGAGGGCGTGAGTGTGTGAAATGCCAAGTTTTAGTCACGGATGATGTTTCCCTGCATTGGTACTTGAGGACTTGATTCCTCCCCTGCGGTAAAGGCATTGCCCTCCAATCCAATTTACGGAAACATAGAAATGGAATTCTAGGACTGGAAGGGGTCCTAGAGGTCTTCTAGATCAACCCCCCTGCCCGAAGCAAAAGATGCTGGACAAATGGCTGTCCATTCTCTTCTTGAAAACCTCCATTGATGGAGCACTCACAACTATGGGGGGGCAACCTATTCTATTAATTAACTGTTCTCACTGTTGGGAAATTCCTCCTGAAATTTGAAATTGCTTTGAACTTCAAAATTCTCCTGGAATCTGAGCGCAGTAAAACACATCCTTGTGGGAAGCTCCTTGTTGGCAGAACCAGGAAAACCGGTAATTCGTCCAGGGTTTACTGGCCGGTGGGCCAAACAAGCCTGTTGACCTCTCCTATTGGAGTTGATCTTCTGGGTAGCATAGGATGGAGGGCACCCCTAGATCGTGGGGCCCCTGAGGCTTGAGCCAGGGAGAGGGACCATGAAGCAGATACGCCTGCGGCCTCTTAAAGGACTGGTGAGGTTGGGCTGGGCCCCTCCTGTCCTGGCCAAATCCTGGGTCACCTCTCCCATGAAGGAGGCTGTGTGGGAGAGGAACAGGCTGAGCCGGAGGGAGGGAGGAGTCAAGCTAGTCACCAGTCTCGAGTCCCTTCACGCCCACCAGAGATCCAAGTCCGGCCCCCCTTGAGTTCCCGTTGACTCTTACCTGCCGCTGTTGGTTGGCCAGGTTCTTGTCGAGAGCTTGAGCTAGGAATCAATATTTATACTCATTTGAACCGCCTGGATCTTCTCATTTCCTGCCCCGGAGAGGCTGCTTTCAATCCCGGGCAGCCGAACCCAGCTTTAAGTGCCCTAAGCTGCATCTCAGGCAGGAGAAGAAAGAGGCAGCGCCAGGAGGGTCCTCTCTGAAAACTGGGGCCCCCTCCTTTGCTGCTGCTGATGTCACAGATGAGGGGGCTTGGTCACCTGGGCAGGGCTGGGGGGGGGCATCCAGGGCGTGGTTCTTGATTGAGGGCAGGGAGAGGAAGGAGCTGGCCTTACCTGGGGGGCAAAGAAGGAGGCGGCTGAGTCCTTGGTCCTACCAAGAGAGACTTAGGAGGTGTTCCTTCAGGACAGAAGGAGGGTAGTTTCTGCCTTTGGGGCTGGCCTGACCCCCAACCCAGCTCCCTCCAGCTGTGGGTGGGACGGACGACACTGCATGTCTGCAGCCTACTTTGGGAAGACCCTCCGGCCCTTGGGGCCTGGGGCTTTGGAGAGAGTGACCTCTGCATCTGCCTGGTTGGTGGGATTGAAAGAACTTCAGGTCGATGGTGGGATCTGGGTAGCCCCTCCCTCTGAGGACCAGGGGAAAGAGGAAACAGACGGGTGGCCTGGGGAGGGGTCTCCCTGCAGGGGGAAGGGGCTCCTGTCTCCCTGCCCCTTTCTCTCACACCCTCCCATGGGTCCCAGGGTCTTCCCCGCCAGGCGAGGGACAAGGGAAACCTCTGGGCGCAAAGGGCAGTTATTCCTTTTATTTCTCTCGCTTCTTTATTGAATTTATTTGCCCTCCATCCCATTTCAAAGCGTTACTTCCTGTTAAGAGTTGGTCCTTGATTTATGACCACGAGGGGGTCCAGAATTTTCATTGCTGAGCAAAGCAGAGTGAATTTCACCACCTTTTTTTTGCAAAGCCCTTCCCCACCCTTGGCGTTACTTCTGGGGAGCCCCCTGGGAGGTTGGAGGGTGGGGATCATGTGACCCCAGGAGACTGCACCTCAGTGGTGGGTTTCAAAAAAGTTTCAAACCTACTCTGTGGGTGTGGCCTCCTTTGTGGGAGTGGCTTGCTGGCCATGTGTTCTCTCTCTCTCTCTCTCTCTCTCTCTCTCTCT